CTGTCTGATGGACTGTCTGTCTGATGGACTGTCTGTCTGATGGACTGTCTGTCTGATGGACTGTCTGTCTGACTAACTGTCTACCTTACTGCTTAACTGACTGTCTGTTCGTCAGTATGTCCGTAATTTTTCAATCCCACCCCATTTTCAGTGTACTTTGTTTAACATTACCTTGAGTCTTCCATTAACCTTGAACGGCGTCCATCGATATCCATCTGGGCTGTAAGCCACAGCAAAGCTGGTTACATACTGATTTGCATCACTCCTGCCTTGCGTGGCGATCTTGGAAATTCTAACAGGCCGTCTAAAATCAAACTGAATCCATTGTTTCCTGTTATTCTTCTTGGCGGACCATCCTCCCTTGAAACGTCCTCTCGGCTTTAGGTTCAGCCGCGCGAGATACGCGGCGTGATAACGATCCCATTCACTCGATGCCTTTATGTATTGATTGCCCAGCCTTCCCTTGGAGACTCCTAAGGCCTTTACCACCGGTTTACGAGCTAGAATACATAACAATGATTACTGTCAATATGTCATTACAGAAGCAATTGTTTTACGAGTAGAGGGGGTACGTTTCTATAGACTCTGTGGTGCTGCGTCGGTGGTATTAACAAGGTAATTGGGGTTTTATCAACTGAGTTGATAAAGTAAATTAGTCAACGTAAAGAGTTTCAAAGCTGACGCTTCGAGCGTTAGCCCTTTGTCAGAGTACATTATCAACTCAATGACAAAACCAAATTACCTTGCTTTAGGAATGATTAGGCTTGAAAGTGAACTACAAGCTATTTTCCTATCTAGCTAAGCAAATTACAGCACTATGCCGTATTAGTGCTGTATCAAAGGCAGCTTGCGATTGAACTTAGATAAAAAGTACAACCAGTACAGTCAATTGGTAGTCAGTCAGTCCCGAATATCTTGATTCAGTTGGGCGATGAGTTAGCCTGCAGTGGAGCTGTCTTACTAGGGCGAGTCAACGTTACTCTTCGACCGGCCATGTGTCATTTAGATTTAGAGTGGACAGCGAGGAAAGGGGATTGCCTCACCACCTCCCCTCTGCTTCCTTTATGACCGTCACTCACCCCTTTGGTACAGATTTCTTTCTCTGTCCGGCCTTCCGCTTTCAAAATCACCAAGAAAATACTAAGCACTCGCTTGCCAAAATTACATCTGCTCTGAAGGCTAGCAATGAGTACTTATCCTATACTTGTATGACCCATATCTAGTCTGTGGCAGACACACGATAAGAAAAAACTGTTCACCATACTATTGCACCTAATGTAAGCCTGTCTTCCTAAGAAATTTAAGCAGCTCTTACCCAGGCGGTATCCATAGAGCTCGACTCTCATGGAAATGTGCTTATGCCACGTGTATGGCACCACACGGACGTAGCGCGCTCTACGAGGCCGAGCAAACCTGTGTCGTACTATAGTATTCCTATCGCGGTTACCGGTCAATAACTGAAAAAAAAAAAAACAACAACAACAAATATTAGAAGGCATTTAGATTAATGAGGCAATAAAAGGAGAGGGAGATACTTTTCTCCTAGCGCTGATGCTCACTCACCACAGTTCTTCGACGCACTTGGTACCATCGCCAGCGAACGCCATCATTACTAGACATAACTCTGTAGGTCTTCACCCACTGTCCAAAATCCTGCCTTCCCTGAGTCGCTATTCCGTACACCACCGCTTGGCAACCAATATCGATCTGCAACCACTGGTGACGGTTGTTAGCACGCGTTGACCAGGCACCTCTGTACCTGCCCCTCCTTTGAGTATTCAGGCGGCTCTGGTGCGGCCCGTGGTAACCATCCCATCGTGAAGATGAACTCAGGGCGCTATCTGGGATACGGCGGTCTTCAACACCGAGGGGAAGCCTCTTTTTGACTGAAATATTGATAAGTTACATAAGACTCAATAGGGGCTTGCATTTTCAGGGTTTATCAAGTTCCATCATGCAAAACGAACTAATTTTTGAGTTAACTTTGGTTTAAGAACTGAGTTGATATTGTAAATTGGACACCGCAAAGAGTTTCAAAGCTGACGTTTCGAGCGTTAGCCCTTCGTTAGAGCGAAAGTTTATTGTCACCTGTGCTCCACATTCACGTGGCTTTTCTACTAATAAAAATGTATTTCTTGACTTTTGATTCATGTTCTTCGCTTGGCACAGTAGCAGGAACTTAGATCGCCAGATGCTAGTTTAAAAAGCGGGTGAAAGACGCGCTGCTTCAGATTGCTATCGCAGTATTACCAAAGCGCTCACTACGAAGGCTATTCTGTTTAAAGAAATGTGTTGTAAACAACATTTCTCTGTTTTACAACTACGTTTGAATTTTGTCACTTCGAAAGCGTGACAAAAAGTGGAAAGAGCGCAGAAAGAGCGCAGAACGAGCGCGGAAAGAGAAAGATTTTCTGAGTTTGGAAAGAAAAAAAAAGCAAATTGTAAACACGAAAACTTCCGCGACGTTCTTCGCGTCGAAAAACATACCAATCTGAGACTCTCAACCACTGGTAGTCTTAAATAATATTTCATCTGATATCTGCCATTAGTCTGTTTTCTTACCTGCATTGCGACCATACAACTCTATTCTCATGGAGATATGTCCGCGCCACCTGGCTGGTCTGACACGGATCGATGTCGCACGTATGGCGGGTTGGAGGTAATGACGGACAACTGAGTTTCTGTCCCTGTTGGCGCGGAACAGCTGTAAATGTAAAAAGCGGGATCAGTACAGAAACTTGATTTCACACAAACCATCCCTATCTGTAAGTCTTCAAGGATGTTTACCGTCTTACATGTCATGTTTACTTAAGCCTAGAGAAAAAAGGGACAGGAATGGAATCTGAATTAACTCTTTACACCATAACATCAGTACGCATATTCTCCACACTGTCCTCCATATATGTCCTATGTTACTGACAAGGAGAATTTGTTAAACCATCAAATGCTTCGTTCAGAGGTGATCATTTACCTTATTCTCCTGACCTTAATGATTGATGCAGGCATAATATTGCAAGGAAAAATTAAACGCTGATCACTGCTAGGGGCTAAAGGGTTTAAGAATAGAGTTTCAACGTTGATAGTTGATTGAAGAAGAAGTATGGAAGAGAATGGGTCTTGTATTCTATTTTTCAATTTTTAACCCCTTAAGAGTGACTAGCATCAAATTTCTCCTTACAATATCACCCCTGAATTACTCATTAAGGTCAGGAGAATAAAAAAAATGATCCGCGAAATCTTTAAAGCTCTTGATTGTTGAACAAATTCTCCTTGTCAGCACCATAGGAAATGTATAGAGAACAGTATGGAGAATATGCATACTGATGCTAGGGTTACGACTTTAAACCCGCCTAAGGGAGCTATACCCCTTATAGAGACTAACCCAGCGGTTAATGCTGGGACACCGATCCATAACAAACCTTAGTGACGCCGAGTTGTTTGTAGTATACGTAATGAACCTTGTCCATGCTGTATGTCAGTCGATAGCTTATCACCCAGTGGTTTAAGTCCTGTCTGCCCTGAGTAGCGATGGCCACGATTTTCTTGGGCTGCTTGAATGATACCTGTAACCATTGGTAACGGTCATTAACACGTGACGACCACGCCCCTCGGAAGCTGTGTGATAAATTGTGGAAAGAAATCGTCAGATCGCTAAAATGTTTCAGAACTTAACACTTATTAATTCGTTTAGGCTTGAAAAAAAAAAAGAAAAAAAAAGGGATAACATTTCCAAACAAGTTAATTTCGGATATTCTCTCAGCATCACTATTTCTAGTTATAGTTCACCACTAAATTTTCTCCGATTCTTATTGGTTTAAATTGATCCCGTGACGCGATAGTGTTCATCCGTGGAGAGACACTATCAGCCCATAGTGCCCGTCCGCGGAAAATACCCGGATGGATAGTACTCATCCGTGAAAAATTTTGAATGGTTTGATGGCTAGCATACTTTCCCTCAAAGCTTCGCTTCTCGGGCAAATATTTGTTTTAAGAACATAAACTTTCCGCGGGGCAACTATCAGCCGATAGTTCCTCCACAGAAACACTCTATTGTTTAATTAGAATACCTCGTGCTCAAAATATCACCACGTTAAACTGCATCTCTGGGCGTTGATATGTATCAGCAAATATTTGTAAGGTTACGCTGTTTATCTAGAAATACCCTCGGATTTCTCGAGCCAACTGTTTTCCTGGCTCATTTACGGAGGTGGATTAAGTCAATGCGATACTGTAATTTTACCCACGCAAGCCCCTTGTCCTCCCCCGTCACTTACTGAGGAGGTTATAAGTCAGGACAACACTGTAATGTTTAAAGGCTCATAGTTTCTAAAGAAACTGTTTGGGGCTGTAATGTTTACCCTAGGAACCCTGAATCCTGATATTGCACCATTTGTAATGTGCTTCGGGATGTTATGATAGTGGGTAATAAATAATAAAATACGTCCTGTTTCATTGATATTTGAACTGAGTGTAAGAACACGAGAATAATATTTACCTTCCTTGTCTCCTGACATGAAGCCTGGCTCTCCAGGCAGCATGATACCTGTCCCATATTGACGAGGCACTCACAGCGTTATTTTTAATACGACCGCTCTGCATTCCAAGAGCTTGAAGACGAGGCCTTATGATTCCTGAGGGACAATTAACAACAAAAGAAGAATTATTTTAGATTTTGTAGGATACACGTCATTTTGTCAACCAAAAAACTTACCAAGATTTTTTACAAGTTCTTCATTACGTTGCAATCATTTTAACCTTCTCTAAACTTAAAAGTCTACGTGCAACTTAGATTTATTCCAGCTTATTTGGCGACTGTCTATCTCGGTTTATTATCCTTTCAAGATTTCGTTAAATTTCAAGAAACTTCTCCGTCGTAAGAATAATACTGACGCAGCCGATATACCGAGCAACTTGTAGTAAGACGACAGATGAGCAAGAAATTCTGAAAGTATAATTAAAAATTAAAGATAAATTCGTCTAATCAGACCATCTAAAACTACTCACCAGGCCGGCGACCATAGAAGCCGACTCTCATTGAGATGTGCCCGTACCACGAGACTACAACAATTCTAATGTAACGAGCGCGGATTGGCGGACGTAACGGATGTGTTACAATACTGTTCCTGTCGCTGTTTCCACGGAATGTCTGACGAGATGAGCGAAAAGAGTTTTTGAGTTATAAATGCTTGCCTCCTACCAGCAAGTCTGAGTATTCCAGAGAATGAAACGACAAAATTTGAAATATTAGGAATACCGCATGCTCCCCATACCACTGTTGAAAAATTGAAGATACGATCGTTGCGAAAGTGTCCCATTGGTGTACTGTGGTTGCAAGAGCATAGGAGAGAGATTTCCAAGGTAAAGGAAACTGACCTTGTTTTTGCTTCACTATGTTCCATGAATGACCTACCAGAGTCCTTTTGATCACTTGTGCTTTCCGGCTCTTCGGGCCGTTCAGCTATCTTTACTTTGAGCTCTCGTTGGCTCCTTCGCACTCTCAGTGAGCAACCGCATTGACTTTGCTTAATTTAAGCCCCTTTTCCGAAAAGTGTCCCAACAAAATAAAATCCTCTGGCTGCTCCCTGAGAATGCTGTGAATTATAGTTCACTCCCAACAAAAATCCATATTACCACAGCCTTTCTTCTATATATCCTCACCTTAACGCGGCCTCCTTTCTTATAAGGTATAAACCGGACTCCGTCGTTTCCAAAGTAAACCTTATAACTTGTGACCCACTGGTTATAATCCTGGCGTCCCTGTGTCCTGATCGCCGTGATCAAAGTTGGTTTACCGAGATTAAACTGCAGCCACTGCCGTCTGTCATTTTTCTTTGCTGACCACGCCCCCTTATGTCGGCCTCGTGCTTTGTTATTGAGTCGTCCCAACCACGGGGCGTGGTAACGGTTGAATGTAGAGGACGATGTGATGTACCCGTTGGGAATCTTACCGTCTTCGACACCAACTGGCACCGAGTTACGAGCTGCATTGGAAAGTGATAATACAGGAAATCCCATAAGGATTTACAGCAACTTTTACGTATCAGAGCGACCAAACAGAACTAAGTCAGGAATTGAGAGTATATAATAACCGTTTTGAGAGTGCAGTAATATCACTTTATCTTTGCTCTTTCTTTTTTATGTTTTCCATAGCTTCCGACACATTTTTGTGACTTTTCCCAGACTTTTTCCGTATCATTTGCTTCGTTTTCCAAGCTACAAGTTAAAGTCAAATTACATGAGCTGTGCGGAATAATGATTGACGGGGATTTAGCCCAAGAGTTAAGAAATCTGCGATGAGACATTTTCGCTACGTTAACTTATTCTACTATACCAAGACACAATTTGCAGCAGTTTGAGAAAAAATTCTGTACCTCTTGACAATTTTTTAAATTTTTTTCCTCGGGTCCTGGAAACTAGTCAACAAACTTTCTTGGCTTTTTAAAGAAGTTAAAAATTGGCACGGACGCAGATTCGAGAAATTCACCCAGTAATGTGTCAGATACGGGCCTTTTTTAACTGAGGAGACAGAATAACCAACACCATAATCTGGTAATGAAACCAACCCAAATTTATTAAAATACTTACAGATTTTCCTGACGTAGAACTCAGCTCTCAGAGAGACATGTCCTACCCATGTCCAAGGGTGGATACGCACATACCGCGCCCTGAACGATGGAACAAATACATTCTCCTTGATCGTATTTTGGTCTTTATTTCCTGGGAAAATCTGAAAATGACACAAACCAAAACTTAGCTCAAAATCTAAAGGAATCTGCTGTAAAGTAGACAGCGAAGTTCAGATAAAATAGAATAGGTTGCGCATTAGACACTGCAAGAGAGGGAGTTATCGAGATTAAAATATGATTAAATCAAAATCAGGGTTTTTTTTTTATTGGAAAGTTAATTAATCGACTTGAGGTGGGGATTATATTACATGACTAGAATGGAAATAGCGATTCTGAAAATGCTCAAAAATTCTATTCAAACGACAGGTCCAAAAGCACGTGTATGAAAAATGGTAACAAAAATAACCACGCAAAAGACCAGTCGCACTAACCAGTAAAAACTTGCATTCGCGCGGGTAAAAAACGAGTAAAGAAACGCTACAGTCTATCATGACTACCCTGGTTGAAGAAACTTTTACTAAAAAGATGTCACAGCAATTACCTTTACTCTTCCGTATTTCTTGTATCGTATCCACCGATATTTATCTTGACTGTATGAAATAAAGAAGCTTGTCACCCACTGTTTGTAGTCATATCTTCCTTGAGTCAACACTTTGATGACCTCACTTGGTCTCCTCAGATCATACTGGATGAATTGACGGCGGTTGTTCTTTCTGGCCGACCACCCTCCTCTGTATCGTCCCGTGACACGTTGATGTAACCTGGCCCTCCACGGCGCGTGGTATTTGTCCCAGGAACTGGAAGCGGTGATGTAGCGCGCTCCGCGAGTTCCAGTTGGAATACCGCTGGGTCTGACGGGAGCTTGGCGAACTAAAGTGAATCAAAGATAAAAATTCAACAAATGTTAGAAAAATTTTAGTCCTAACATTTAAAAATAATGTTCGAAGCCGGTTATTACATCTTAGACCAAGAAAAATATTGTCGAGTTCATACTCCTTAGACTTTCCGAGACGTTGTATGTTTTGTGTCGCCTACAATCGAGAAGTTGGTTTCAAAGAATCTGAAAATTAATATTCAATTCAGATCAGTATTTCTTCACATTACGTTCCCAGAACGATCATTTTCAGTAATCTTTCCTAACTTTCCAGACTTGTGCTAAAACGATTTGTAAATACTAGCAGAAGTGCATGATATTCTTCTCATTTTGAATAATTACAGTATGGAAGTTTGAATAAGGTTGTTACTATGGGAACAAGATTTCGCCTCTTAACCCCGAGGAGTAATCGGTCTGTGACTCCCTGCAATAATCAAACACTTTCACGCGAGATAAACAAAGACAACAGATAATGTGAGATCAAGTATCAAATTCTAAGAACTGACATTTAGAGAAATTGGTGCAAGTCAGTGATGAGAGTCACAACTCAGATCATGAAAACACAGGTATCAGGGCATGTGAATGAAAGCAAGCTCACCCAGGAGATATCCATAAAGTTCGACTCTCATAGAAATGTGACCATGCCAACGTACTGGATGGAATCTAACAAAACGTGCAACGATTGAACGTCTGAAAAAGTTCTTCACAACTGTGTTTCTGTCCTTGGCTCCCGGGAAAATCTGTGGACGATACAAAAAGAAGATAAAACCAACTTAAAGCGCCGTCTTATGTCCCCTTTCATGATTTCTAAATTCATTGTCTGCAAATGCCCAAGTGTCGACTTTTTTCCGAAAAATTCGTTATTAGCCTAAAAGTCGTTAACACGTAACTGCTCCCAGTCATATCCGTACATTATCCGGCAAACAGGTAATACTCAAATTTATCAGGTAGAAGTTGTTATCTTGATCCAACATCAAATTCTCGTAACGAATTTACAAAGGGATGTCAAGTAGCTAGAGTGGAGAATTTACGATCAGATCTTAGTACTTAAAGGGTTAATTACCAACGGCTACGAAGGAAGTTACGCCGCACTGAGTAAATGAAGACATTTTCCATCTGATCGAATTGAGAAAATATCAGAGGTACCAACAATCCAAAACAAAGATGGTTAACGACTGAAAAGATTAGAAAAGACTTCAAAAGACGACATTTAACTATGTGTGACAAACAAAACTGACTTCAAGAGACTTTCCTTTGCAAGATGGTTAATTGATCATGTAACATTGAATACGGCAAGAGACCTTTTTAAGTTCTAAGGCTTAGGGGTGTCTTTTAAGATTTAAAACCACCTTAGATAAAAACCAACCTTGGGTGTTCTTCTTTCAGTGTAAAATCGGAAATGAATTCCATCCCTGCTGTATGATATCCTTAGACTCGTCACCCACTGCCTGTAGTCCTGTCGACCTTGCACAGCGAACCCAGCCACGCGTGCTAGTTTAGTTATGTCAATACATAGCCACTGCGCAGGATTATTAGCACGCGAGGACCACGCCCCTGTCAATCGTCCCTGCCTGGGAATGTTAAGGCGTGCCCGTTTGGGGCCATGGTTCCTATCCCAGCTTGATGAAGCACTGAAACTTCCATCCGGGATTCGACGGTCCTCGACTCCAAGAGCCAACCGAGTGGGCGCTGGTGAGGAGCAAGTTGGCATGTGAGGCAATTTTCAAGTTAAGAAATCTAGCTGTGCGATAAGGATGTCATCGGGTGGTGGTGACGAAAAAAGATAAATCAAAAATAGATTTAGATGTTATCATACCTGCAGTTCGGCCAAAGAATTCGACTCTCATTGAGATGTGATTCACCCATCTGACTGGATGAATGCGAACTTTACGCGCCACTACCGCTGGCCTCAGTGAGTGCATTACTACTGTGTTTCTGTCTCGGTTTCCTCTGAAATACTAAAAGTCGCAGAGTAGAATTGAACTTCAATCATGATCACAAAAATAACTTAATAAGTCTAAACTTAAGTCCGGTGAAAAATTTCAAAGAACAGAGAAATTCTATTTTGAGAATTGAGTAAAGAGAAATTTTATTCGAAAATTGCACGAGGAAGCTAAGAAGTTTTAAAAGCTTTGTGAGATGCACTCTCATTTTTTTTATCGATCTTTATCAAAAACCACGGGTACCCTTATTCTAAGACTAACCTTTGTCTTTCCATTCTTGCGGTATGTAGCAAAATAAGAACCATCTACACTGAACCTCAGATAGTATAGCGTCACCCATTGGTTGTAGTCATGTCTGCCTTGGGTTGCTACGGCAATGACCTTCTTTGGGACTCTGAAGTCCACCTGCAGCCACTGCTGACGATTGTTTACCTTTGCGCACCAGGCACCTGCATATCGCCCTCGTTTCGGCCGTTTAAGCCTGGCTAACCAGGCGGCATGGTAGCGATTCCATCGAGACGAGGCTGAGATTGCACTATTGCGGATTCGACCGTTTTGAAGTCCGAGGGGCTTGGGAGCTGGTCTTCTGACACCTGTGAAGTTTACCAAGTCAAGCAGTGATAAGTATTCCTTCAAAATATTCAATCAAATGAACAGCTAATTTGTAACAGATTCCTTACCGCTCCTCTGTCCGTAGAACCCAATCCTCATGGAAATATGGCCATACCACGAGAGAGGATGGAATCGGATGAATTTAGCGTACAGAGGGCTACGAAGCTTGTGAGACACCTGGCTGTTTCGATCTCTGTTTCCTGGGAAAATCTAAAATGAAAAAGACATAGACAATGCTTTTGTTTTTTGCATATTTGCTTCATTATTCTTCGTGGGGAATTCATTATGATCATATCATCATAACGAACTTAAACGTATTCGTTGCAGCGGCTCTAACGGATGGTGTCCGTCACCTCTGACTAGTCTTTATTGTAACGACATATTTTTCACAAATAAAAGCACTGCTGTTTACTCAGATAAAAGCGTGAACTCTGATACAGACGGGTTTAATGAAAAAAACTGAGAGTTTACGTCATAAGCAATGGTTCAATAGGATTCGAAGTTTAAACTGAGTCAAAATATCTGAGTTTTAACGATACCTTAACTCGCCCATTCTCTCTGTATGGACGGAAACGGCGCCCATCCAAGCTGCTCGATAGGGTGTAAGTAATCACCCACTGATTGGCATCCTGTCGACCTTGTGTAACCACACCAGTTATTTTAGTTTTTCGACCCAGTTTGACTTGCAGCCACTGACGTCTGTTGTTCTTTCTTGCAGACCACGCCCCTCGGTAGCGTTTAGTAGCCACAGAGTTGAGTCTGGCCCGATTGGCTCGGTGGTAGGTTTCCCACTGACTGGAGGCTGTGAATGCTCTGTTTGGTATCTTGCCATCCTCTGAGCCTATCTCCAGACCGGAACGAGCTGTAGGATAAAAAAAATCATAAAATAAAGCGAAAATTAGTAACATCTTTCAGCGAGGAACAAACCTATCACTAAGCCTGTACAATACTTACGTAGAGAAATTCCGTAGAACTCCGCTCTCAAGGACATATGTCCTACCCAAGCAAGTGGATAAATACGAACATATCTCGCTCTTATTGGCGGATCAAAAACGTTCGATTTGACCGAGTTGCGGTCCTTGTTTCCAATAAAGACCTGTTGACATGAACAAACAAGAATGAAGTAAGTAATGCAGCTTCTACTTCAGTACAGATCTTATATAATGTTAGTAATGTCCAGAACTATAAGGTTTGTCATAAAGGACAACGAAGATGCAGCAATTAAACCATAAACCGCTCTGTGCCTTCAGATTTGGATTCATTTTTATTCCAGTAAAATGGTTCTTGTCAAGGGAAAAAGTTTTTACTATACCTGCACTCGACTGTATTTTCTGTAAGGCGTCCAATGGAAGGCATCAGCGCTGTATTTGATAATATAACGTGTCACATACTGATTGAGATCTTGTCTTCCCTGTGTGGCGACCTTCACAATCTTCTTCGGCCGCCTCAAGTCATACTGTATCCACTGTCCTCGTCTGTTGACCTTTGAAGACCATCCTCCGATGTAGCGACCACGCTTCTTGTTGTAGAGCCGCGCCAACCAGGCGGCGTGATACTTGTCCCAGATGCTAGACGCTGTGATGTAACGGTTGTTGAGGCGGTTGTTGGAGATTCCGAGAGGTTTAGCGACTGGAAGTGGGCCTTTTAGGTGGAAAAGTGAGAATCTTAGTCTCAAATAAGCACTCGAACCACCGACCAACAGATGTCTACATAAACGCCATCTATATCATCTCACGTGTTATTCCAACTTACTTAGATATTTTCCGTATAACTCCACTCTCATTGATATGTGTCTGTGCCAGGACAGTGGATAAATACGGACATACCGAGCTCTGATTGCAGGGACAAGAGCATTTCTCACCACGGTGTTTCTGTCTCTGTTACCGCGGAAGATCTGTTGTGAAGATGAAATCATCGTGAAAGAAAAACAGTTGGAGTCTGTGTCACTAATAAAAAGTGCAAACACCGCACGAAAGTGGCATTGCAGTATCACAATGGGACCTTTTATTCAATTGTAAAGAAATACCATGTTTCTTTTTTCACGCAAGTTCAACAAAAATTTGTACCTATCGACTGGGGAGAGCCTTCACATTGATGTTTCAATACCGAGTGGTAGAGAAAAAAAAAGCGAGTCTTGAGTGACTTGCTCCTAATTTCTCTTGACAATATCACCCCTGATCCCAAAACAAGGTCAAGAGGATACGGAGAATGATCACCAACCAAAGAAGCTATTAATTGTTATACAAAATCTCTATCAGCACCTTAAGAAATGTACAGAAACAGTATGGAGAATACGCATACTGATATTAGGGTAATGATGTCATCTTACCCCTCTTCGCCCAGAGCCAGAGTTGATAAATCTTATTCCACCGTTGCTGTATTTCACTGAGTAACTTGTTACCCACTGGTCAAGATCTTGGCGTCCCTGAACCGCTGTGGCCACAATCATTGCTCGATTGCCAAGGTCAACCTGTAAAGAACCAGTTTGTTATTTCAAAGAAGCTCAACATCCACAATATAAGAAGGGTTTTCAATTACAAGGTGTCCTTACTAGCGACCTACTTGCACTTAAGGGGAAAGTCTAATTGGTTAAAGTAATAAAATTAGAGCAATTTTTAATTGAGCATCGAAAAGAATCCAGTGGTTTTACTGTACTATACTTCGCTTTGTGATTGGTCCAGACAACACGTGCCACTCTCTCAACCAATCAGATGCAAAACTAAAACCAACCACGCTTTGGTCGCACGCGTTTTCCCGCGCTTTTAGAAATATTCTCCTTTCTTCTGATTGGCCATTGTGATTATTTTGGGTTTGGTCTTACGATACACAATCGAAAAGCGCTCGATCAACTTTTCATAACAAAACTTCAATGAATAACCTGTAGCCATTGTCCTCTGGTGTTTCTCTTTGCTGACCAAGCTCCACGGAAGTGTCCCTGTTTGCAAATATGAAGTCTTCCTCGTAGAGCGGAATGGTAACGGTCCCAGAAACTGGAAGCGCTCATGGCACTGTCGCGTATTCTCTTGTCAGCCACACCGAGAGGAAGTCTCGATGAAGCTGCAGATATAAGAAGACCGCATACGCTTTAAAGGACTAATTCAAGAGACTCCCTACTTTCGCCTGCACCCTCGAGATAAAATAAAAATTCGTACGCTCCTAGTTGAGAGATTTTTCCCGAGAAAAAGTGTACAAAAAGCGAGGCGAACGCGAAGATTGCAAGACTTTTCTCTAATTTTCCCAACAAACCTTGCCAGTATACTTAGATATATATTGCAGTATATCACTTAACCAAAAGATGTATTATTCCTAAAATCCTTACAGGTACTGTGTCCGTAGAATTCGGCCCTTAGAGAAATATGTCCTCTCCAACTCACAGGATGAATTCGGATAAAACGTGCACGGATTGCGGGAGAGAGGCGCCGTCTTACAATTGTGTTTCTGTCTCTGTTTGCACGGAATATCTAGCGCAAAGGAAAGATATCAGCAGACATGTTACATCTTGGGTACTAGTACAAATAAATTATCTACAAAAGGCAGATTTGACATCTGGTAAAACAATTGCCATAGGTCTGCTCTTGTAAACACGAACCTCTAATAATGATGAAGTTGTAGGTGTCATTCGTAAAAAATATAATTACAACAAAATGTATTTCTATACATTGCAAGACGATCGCCTAAGAGCGATAGTTTGTAAATGTAGAGAAAAACCAAGAGATAACCATAAAATAAATATCGAACAAGAACAGTGATTAACCCTTTGACCCCTTCCTTAGTGTGACTAACAACTAATTTCTCCTTACAATATCACCCCTGAATCACACATTAAGGTTACAAGAATTAAGGAAATGATCACCGACTGAAGAGGCTCTTGATTGTTAAACAAGTTCTCCTTGTCAGCACATTATAAAATGTATAGAGAACAGTATGGGGAATAAGGATACCGATCTTACGGTGTAAAGGGTTAAAGAGGAAAATTTAGATGGACAAGGGATGACGACCGGGAAGGACTTGAATTTTAGTCGAGACGCACCATCCGTAAGGGACAAAGGGACAAGAAGTACCACTAATAACAAAAATAATAATAATAATAGTAATAATGATAATAATAATAATAATAATAATAATAATAATAATAATAATAAAAAAGAAGTTCCACTGATTTACCTTTCGACACAAGTACGGTACGAAGTTGATTCCATCAAAACTGTAGGTAAGATAGTACCGTGTCACCCATTGGCTGAGATCTTGCCGACCCTGAGTGGCGACAGCCAATATCTTAACAGGTTTCCTGAAGTCCACCCTGATCCATTGGTAAGGATTGTTATGTTTTGCTGACCACGCTCCGATATAACGACCACGACGGGTTATTTCAAGCCTGCCACGGTTTGGTCCGTGGTAACGATCCCACTTGGAGGATGCACTGATGGCACTGGCCGGGATGCGACCATTCTTCATTCCTAAAGGTTTGTACTGCTGTGACACTGAAGACAAAAATCATATTCCTTTATCTTTATCATTATCACCATCATCAACCTCATCATCATCATCATCATCACCATCATGTCGTCGACATTAGTNCTAAACCTAAAATGCAAATGACCCAACCTACTATCATTGTGTGATGTAGCTGCTCCCCAAAGTAAGCTGAATTTGAATCACTCATTTGACTCCAATTTCAATACCAATATTATTGTTTGGTCCAAACAAAATTTATTTCATTACACCATTTAATGAAAGTTATTGCAATATGAATGTTTTCGTGTTTCATCATCAACATGTGTCATGACAGTTAACAATATTACATGATAATTTTTAATTTATAAGAGGGGGTTGAAAATTTGACAAAGCACAGACCACTACAAGCATGTCTGATGCAATAGGTGCAATAGTAATTGGTATCTTATGGTCGAAGATGTGCCAGTTCTTTATACGTTCCATGAGCCGCTCCACATGAACTCTTAGGCTAGCAACCACCTTGTTGTGATTTGTTTCATTTGTGGAAAACTGTATCTTCTGTTCTAAAAATTTTGGTATAACAAGGCTTGCACCAACAGAAGCTAATTCATCCTGACAATTGAACCCTTTGTCAGCCAGTACCTGGTCACCAGGATTTAGTCTGTCTAGAAAACCACTAAGAACAGTTATTTCCTTATCTGAGGTTGAACCAGGAAATAAGTCACTCACAAAACATAAAACACCGCTTGGCGTTATGCCCAACAGTGATTTCATGGTGGTTCTTGACTTGTATGATGAAAAACAGGTAGACTGTGAATCAAGAGCAGATGGCCTCTCCATTTCAAATTCCGTGCAATCGACAATGACTGTTACGTTAGGCAACAGTTTCTTAAAACTGTCAGGCCTATAACATTGAAGTACTTCTCTTGGGGGGATGATGATAAGAGGTTCAAATTCCCTCCTCAAAAATGGAATCCAGGCATTTACAATCTTAGAGACAGTTGATCTTGAAACCAAAAATCGATGAGCAAGATCATTCTCAAACAAACCCAGCCTCAAGCGCAGCATAACAAGGGTAAACTCCTGGAATTTAGTAAGTACTCTGGGTCTCCCAACATTACCGTTCGTGGTGGTCCTTTTGTGCCCATAATTAATATTGCTAGAGGCTTGTTCTACAGTTTTGTAACAAAGAATAAAAGCATTGTAATCGGGAAAGCCGGTGTAGAATGCAATATCATCATCTTTATCTTTAAATTTGCTTATGTCAAATCTATTGTTATCTAAAGCATGCTTCAAGCTTTCGATTTCCTTTTGTAATTTGCTGTTCACCTCTTTTATGTTGTTGTTTTCTTTCTCCAACTGCTGAATCTCTCCCTTAAGCTTAACAATTTCTTGTTCTCTTGTTTGCATTCTGTTGTATAAACTGTTTAGTTGGTCTCCAGTAAGTAACGTTTGCATTTCCACACTGGTACTGGTGTCAGCATTAACATTCATATTTTCTGTCTGTTCTTCAAATTTAAAGTTCGCTTCCTGTGGTAATTGAGCAAGTGCTGTTTTTCTTTTTTTGGTTTGCTCTATTTTCTGTACATCTTCGAAACTGGCCCTCTTGCGTTCTCTACGTTGAGCTGTCGGTTTTGTCCATGGAAAAATTGAAGGCAAGTGCGTTCTGCTAAGTTTTTCTCCTCCATCGAAATGAACTGAGCAAATCCGCGTACTCGTAGAATCTAATTTCAGAGTCTCGTTCCTCATAAGAACCACGTACTTTCTACGTATATGAGGGTCTTTTGGAATTCTATAATACTGAAGGTTAGGTGCATTTCTGTAACTATTAGTGCAGCCTGGAATACAGCAGTTATAGTGTGCCATGTTTGTCACACGTCAGCTGTGCGTTTGTTTACCTTCACGCTGTCCCTCCAAACGATCCCAAGAGCCTTTATGGTGGCAAATCGTACCCAGACCGCCGCTCGTTTTGAAAATGGCTAATTGGCCGAGTTCTTTTTTTGGGTTTTTTGGACCGAGACGAAGTTGAGGTCCATAAAAAACGCAAAAAAGAACAAGGCTAATATCCAGCCATCTTGACCGAACAAGCTTGGTCAATAAAGGATTTATCATATGGCTAAAAGATTTCGCTTTTATAATAAGAATCAAGAATGAGTTGTTTATTTCGAGAGCCGGGAAACAAAGCCACAGTAAACCCGTGAGGGTCGTTAAATTTTTTCTTTGTTTTGACTGTCTTCTGCCACTTTTTGCGACTTCGTCGCCGACATTGTCCAAAAGCTACGAACATTTTTTTCTTGCGCGGGATCAAAGCGGGAAATCCCGAGCGGGAACTATGGTCCCATCTTGCCCGCTCAGGTAGCCAATCAGAACACAGGATTCGCTTCATCTTGCCCGCGGGCGCTCCCAGCTTTGTAATACTATTACTCTAATCGTTTATTATTATTCCTATAATCTGCTATAGCTTTAAGAGCGAACGGCAAATTCACTTGGTCATTCAAGTCCTCTATATCATTACTGGAGTATCTTTAAACCAAAAATTATTAGTTCGGAAAGAAAAAAAGTAACAATAAAAACCAAGAAGGGCGGGTTGCAAATATCACACTTCAAAACTTTTGGCTGAATTCTTCCGATGCACAACCTCAAGAGATTTTTTATGGAAACTGTATTGGTTAATTCTACAGGCTGGTAGAAGTTGAATGAAGTCAAAGATAAAAGTTCAAAGGTCGGGCTAATGTAACGCTTACCTCGTGTCCATGCGCTCCTGGTGATCTGTGGGATGCATTTCAGTCCTTTGTTTGTGGGATGACGCTCTTTTGCAGCGTAACACAATCCACCGATGATGCAGTTTGTTCTCTTTTTTAAAGAAAGCAACAGAAAATATAAAAAAAAAGGGCAAATAATGGTTCTCCTATTTCCTTAATAGAGCCCTTTAGTGAACTATCTCTCGGTAAAGTATCTATTAGACAGAGAGCTCTCTTAACAGCACCTTGTGTCCTTCTTTGTGTCAGAGTTTCGTGTGCATCACGAGTAGAAAATCACTATAGGGGTAAATGAGAACAACTCAAAAAAGATCTAGGATGTTCAAGGATATATATAAAGGAATCATTAAACAAATTGCAAATGAACATGGGAAAACTCATACGAATTTTTCGAAATGCACAAAATGTTACGTAGCTTTCTCTAGGTTAGCTATTTTGGAAAAAGGGTCCGCAAAATCGAATGGTAGCGACCAGCTCAAGTATTCTGTCAAAGAACAATCTCATTAAAAAAGAGAGAGTTCACTGTATAAAATAAACAACAAGCACCTTTCGCCAGCAGAGTCCATTTGGTAAACATCTATGACAAGCTGAGTCGAAAATAACCAACTTCAACCGATTGCTGGTCAAGACGCCATTGTTTGAAATGGAGACCAGTATTCTGAGAGGTAAGCCACGGAGCTTTCTTGCTTTAGGCTAACTTAAGGGAAGTTTACATCTTGCTTCCCTGAAGCTCTGCAAGTCACCACGGTTCTTCTTTTGCGCTCCAATTCCATGCCATCTGCGACGAATCAGCTAAACAGGGAAAAAAACAGTTGTGTCACAAAGTTACTGTAGTTATATAGTTGCTCTATGTGAGCTACTGAAGTAATGGTTAGCTCCCTGGGCAGTGAATCACAATGGCAAGGCTTGAACCCTGGTCAGCGGCGTCATTGTTTTGTCTCCTGAACATGTCACACAAATTAAAATTGATTTGAATTCGCGCGTATGATCAGAGCGACATCATAACTCGAATTTAACATCGAGCCGTTTATATCAAGGACCTGTTGCGGCGTTCTTTCGCCTAGTTTCATTTTCACCTCGTATATTCGAGCAACAAAAAACTTGGAAGATAGCATACAATACTGTAAATACATACCCTTGCTTTTTGCACGTGACAGTTTAAGTGACCTTCCCAGAAGCCATTCCCATATACGCTTGCAAAGCGACACGCCCGTTTCCTCAAGTCGCAAATGCCCTTTGATTGAAGTCCATCAAGCTTGGGCGGTTTTCTCTTGTCAATTGAACAATCACTCGAGCCATAACCACGATAACAGCGACATTTTCCGTTCACACATCTACCTCGCTTGTTGCAGTTATCGGGGCAAAGTTTACCCAAGATGTTTATGTTGGGGACCACTTTCCCATTCTTTTTTTTCTTGTAGTTTTTGGGATTCACCAAAGCTGCAGTTTTACAAGCGTCTTGCAGACTGGATAACGCTGACTTGGCCATGGAGAGTTTACCAGATATCTGGAGAAGAGAAAGAGCAGTGGTAGCATACGGAGAAGAGAGGACAGTGTTGTCCGTCAGTTTCGGACTGTATTCCTTTTTAACGAAAATTCATTTCCTTTGGATTTGTTACTCAGTAATTAAATATTCAGTGCTGAAGTATTTTCATTTTTCGTTTTCCATTTTGTACTGTTCTACTGTGGGGATCAAAGGTGTTTTATAAACCTCTGACTGACTTGAACCAGCACCTAAATTGTCACTTCAATGAAAGCCTCGCGTTTTTGCAGTCTCCAAAACCCATACAGAATTACACAATGGAGTTTAAAATTTGAGACTTTTTGAAAAAAATTGGAGAGATCCAGTGGAATAATTGTTGTGATACGTAGGACAATAGCACTTCTATTGCTGTGTTTGCGCATTGCAGCACTGTCTAGCTAAGTCAATAAAAATTGCCCAACGTATCACTCCATCCTTGGACCCCTATGATCATGATAAAAAGCGTTTGCAAGAAATAGTCACTGCTATAGCATCTTACCTTGATATCAGTCACGCACTCTGTCATGATTTTCAACTTCTTGGCACTAACAACCTTCTTGCATACTCGCACTATGCGGGAAATTTCTCTCTTACAATGTCTTATTGCTTTCTTCCGAGTGATTCCCGACTTAGTTGGCCATGTAGGAACACGGTACTTTACTTTAGGAGGTTTAAAGACATAGTTGATAGAGTTCGGGTCGTAATCTCGGTTATCTGTTCGCCCGGGCTTCTTTGGATGAGGCCG